TAACAAAAAAGATACTTTATGTATTAATTTAATAATAAAGGTGGGGACAATGACTGAAGTATCAGCCAACCAGAGCCACACATCACAAAATAAAAATTTGCACAGGGCTAGAAAAAGAACATAACACAGAATTCGAATTATAAAAAGGTGAAAAATCATGGGGCATTTTAATTTTGATTTTCTTGGATTTGATTAAAAATGCGATTTTGTTCTGTTCTATAAAGACATCAAAAGCCAAGAAGGGGAATAAAATTAAAAGAAGAAAAAGTAACCCATTGAGGCATTAACTATTATAATAGTTTTTCAATGTTCAATGCAAAACTAGCTATGAATATTTCATCAAGAGGTTAGGTTCATAGGTGTATCATGCATATACTCAATTGCAGCCTGATCAATACACACATATTTTTGTAGAATAGCATTTTGTCCTTTCGAAAGAAGAAAGCACAACTACCCACTTATATATAGAAATAAAAAAAATGCAAGAGAATATATATATTTTTTGTCTTCTTGGTTGGAAGCACTGGTAATGGAAACGATACATGACAAGATCCGTTTGATACAAGACATTTCGATAAACATGAAGAATATTTCCATTTAGTGAGAGAAAGACAGAAAACATATCCATGTTATATATCTTGGTAGATTTTGACGACTAACAAGGAACAGTTATGGTTGTAAGATACTGATATAAATGGCTGTGTTTGAACAAGAGAAAAATAAAATAGAGATGAAATAAAGTGGATAAGGATGTGTTTTTATTTTTTTAAATTAGGGAAAATTGAGATGGAGATTGACTTTTACAAAATAAGGTACATATTTTTAAATATATTTTTCTTACAATTTATATTTAAAAATTTTCACTTCTCACTTACTTTCTTTCCACTATACCTCTAAAATATTCATAGTGAAATATGACTTATTTTATTTCGAATGTATAAGTGAAGTTAATAAATATTGATAATAAGGTATTAATAATAATTCAGAATAAACAATTTGTATGATTTTTTTAAAAAAATCATTTTTTTATCACTCATATATAATTGTACATGGTAGATTTATTCATCTCACTTTCACATAAGATGATAAAAAATGTCTTTTAATATATATGTTGCAAACACACTTCCTCTCGCTCATATAAAAAATATACATTTCACTATATATGCTACACACACTTATTTTATGTGTGAAATTCACTTATATCGTTAGTTCAGAATTTGTTAACAATTTTTTCTCTCGTGTTTTTTTTCCTCTTTTATTCTTAACAATGAATATCAGATTTAATGATTTAATCAAATGACCAACTCAAGCAAGTATTAATCAATGAAATTAATAGTAAATCCATAAATGAAATCGTTTATGTCAAAAGTCTTGGTATTACATATGTCAAACAACATGTCTTGATGATTTAAGCTAATGTTAGTACTAATATCTAAGAATATATTGATGACCAATGACTAAACTTTAAAAGTCTAATAAAAGATGTAAGTATCAAAGGTGTATTGGCACTAGTAGTTAATGGCTAAGCTTTGGAGGTTTAATAGCAATGCAAACATGCAATGCAAAATATCTGAAGCATGTTTATGGTAATGATTAAACTTTAAGAGTGTGTTTGATAGAAAGAAAAAAAAAAAGCGAAAGATATAAGTAAAAATATATATAAAAAAATATAATAAATTTTTTTATTTTTTAGTTTGATAAAATAGAGGAAAAAATTCAATTTTTAGCAAAAGTCATTATTATACAAATAAATTTCAATCGATTATAATTTTTTTTTGTAATTGATTAACACTTTTTGGTAGTTTATAGACTGATGATAAAAAAATTAAAGAAATTAATCACACAAAAAATCAATTAATGTACATTTTATGATAGTTTTTAATTATTAATAAAAGAACTGCCATAAAATAAGTTAAAAGAAAATTTTCAAACCATTTTCAAGCATCTCGGTATGAAAATAAAAAAAGAATGAGATCCACACCTTTTTATTTCTCACTTAACACATCCCCACTTAACTAAATCACTTTCACATTTTTATTTCTCACCCTTCTAATTCATTTCTTCACTATCTCTCACACACCAAATAGGAAATAAGGGTTATCATCAAACAATACACATGGATAGAAAACATTTTTGCTTAACAGAAACATACCATATAGAAAAGACTCATACTTAAAAATAAAAAATTGTTGATGTGTAAAATAAATGAAAAGTTCCACATAAAAAAAGAGAGTATATTAAATAACATGTAAGTGAAAAAACCTATAAACATGATCTCTTAAGGTTCCAAATAAATATATGGTATCAATTTCACTTTTGGAATTTGCTTGTAAGCTTGTGGTGCATTGATGAATAAATTTTTAATATTTTTTCCCTTGTATTCTTAACAAATCTTAGCCTTGTATATTTTTTTTAAATAATAATAATAATAATAATAATAATAATAATAATAATAATTTGTTTAAAAGATCTCAAGAGAAACAAGCTATCACAATTTAAATATCCCAAGTTGATTTATGGGATTAACATATAGCACACAAAGTTCCAATTAATACATATTTTTATTTTAAGGAGGTTAATGACAATAACAATAACAATAATAATAATAAAATATAAGTTTAAATAATTTTATTATCTCTTTAATTTTATTTATTTTATTTTTTAGTTTTATAATTTAAAGTAGATATTTTTTAGTCTTATTTAACTTTTTTAATTATATTTAGTCCTTATAGTTTAATATAATTTTTTTTAGTTTTTATATTAGCAATTTGTTAATTATTTAATTTTTGTTGTAGATTCTTTTGTAATATTTGACAAATGTATTAATTTAACTTTAATTTTATATATGTTATATTGAATTTATTTGTTGGAATTACTTTAATTTAGGTCTCTCAATGTATTGTATTTCTTTTATAATCTCACATAGGAAACTTGTTGTTGAGATATCATTTTTTCTACTCTTACAAAATTGAAAATCTCTACCATGTCATTTAAAATAGACGGCGTTACAAAAAGAAATCTAAGTGTAGAAACTAAAATGATTAAAAAATTATAAATATAAAAATTAAAATGATATATCTTAAATTGTAAATAATTGAAAATAATAAATCTAGAGATTAAAAATATCTAGTTTAAAACTTTAAATTATAGAAACTAAAAGATAAAATTAGAAACTATATAAACTTAAAAAAAAAATAACTAAAAATATAAAACAAAACCTGCATTTTCATAAACCTGAATTCAAGATATTTAGTTAAGCTATATATATAATATTCCTGTCAACTGGTCTCCACGTTGCCTTTGTGAAATGGCATCCTTTGATGACTATCCGAAAAACTCGACTTAATGAAATAAATCCTAAAAGTCATCAATTAAAGACAGTCAAAGAGACTAATTAAATAGCCTCCTCTCAAGCACGTGTGCGTATTGGGGATGTATTTAGCAAAATATATTTAATATGCGAATAAAAAAAGTAGTAAATTCAAATAGTATAACTGTAATTAGACAGTTAAAATTAACATTTCTTAGGGCATCTTCAATAGAAAAATGAAAAAATTGATCCTAGTGTGTCATATCAGCATTAAACAACTTAAATACAAATTTACTCAAATAGTATTTTAAGAAATTCAACTTTTAGAATATTTTTTCTAATTATTTATGAATCAAAATTTAAATTTTTATTAAAAAAGATAATTATACTACAATGAAAGAAAATAAGTTACGAAAAAAATACACAATAAGTAGATATTAAAAATAAAATAAAGCAATAATAAATATATAAACATTATACGAAATTAATTTTCATCATTATTATTTTTAAAATATTATCAAATATGTTCAATAAGATTTGCTTGAAATCTGGTAAGGAACGTTTGTTTGAGGAAGTAACTCTCTCTTTTCTTCGAGCAACTCATGTTACCATGTTAGAGTCTTCCAATAACAAGAAACCGGAGCTTGAATTACTTGATGGGACAAGTAATTTTCATTGGAGTTGCTCTTAGAATTACGTAATTATTTAAAAATTAATCTAACCTTTAAAGCAATTATATATTTTAATTTTGACAAATCATTAATTAATATTTAATGTTTACTCCCTTGTAAAAATAAAATAAAATTATTGCTTGTATATATATTCGTGGTTATAGACTGAAACTTGATTCGTAAGAGGAAAAGTGAGAGAAAATAGGTTTTGAATTTTCAAATGTGAAATCTCAACACAGTATCCATGAATCTACTTATTTAGCAGCAAGGGTTTTAATTACACACAATCATTGACACAAAACAAGTAAAAACATAACATGATGAGTGTGACGAAGGAATTATAAATCTCTAACAAGAAATTGAAAGTGTCCTAAACCAAGCTTACATGCATAATAATAATTCCGAGTTTTAAGGCTTTGAACAACAGACATCCTGCATCAGTCCACATCATTTTCCCACCTCACTCGCCCATGATGTCTCATCATCGTCATCCATGAGCCTTTCTTCCAAATGAAAATCTCCATTTCATTTCAATTTAATTTAAAACATTACCATGCATGCAAATGCAACAATGTCCTTTCTTCCATTTCATTCTACCCCAGAAAAAGTTGGTGGTGTGCCATTGTGGTAATTTCACACAAAAGCAAGGGGCAATGATTGTGTGACGTCATCAAGATAGCAACAGCCACTCCCAGCTCATCTTCAATGAAAAATTATTAGTGTTTGTGAATTATCACCTCTTCAAAATTTTGATCAATTTTGATGTTACTTGGATTTATAAATAATTGTAATAAAATTATAAATATTAATTTATGATTAGATAATAAACTAATTTAACGAATCCATGATATCTTTAACTAAGATTCCATGTGAATATTGGAGCAGTTAAATAAAAGTATTAGTTGGGGTAAATGGTCTCTAAAAAACATAAATTTTCCTTGGCGACCACCAACACTGTTGAAAGCGGAGGCTTCTGTGTTCCACAATCCGACAAACGCTTTCTCTGCTGAGTGGCTCCCATTGTAATATTTCCCAAAGTTCCTCCTTTTTCTCAACCCTTTTCCTCTCTCTCTCTCTCTCTCCATTCTCCCACTTCCATTTATTTTCTCATCTCAAAGAGAGAGAAAACTAGACACCCAATAAGAGAAGAAGAAGCAGAAGCTAAAGAAAGAGAAAGCACATCACAGTTCCACACAACCTGAACAATAAACACAGAACAGCACACGATCTCACTCTCACTCTCACTTCTCCACCTTCACCGCACCAACCAAGCCCTCTCTCCCTTCTTCTACTTCTCGGCGCAAATGGAGGTGATAGCACTCTACAAGCTTGAATCTCGCGGGATAGTGTAGTCCCGTTAAGATTTTTTTTGTTTCAACTTTGTTACTCTCTTGCTCTTCTTCTTTCACGCGCTCTTTCTCTCTCTACCTTTTTTTCTCTCTCTCTCTCTAAACCTTCCTCTGCCGGAGGATGGCCTGCCGGTGCCGGAAACTGACGGTGGTGAACTTGGATCCGGAGAGAAAGCGAAGCGGGGGGTTGAGGACTAAACAGGCAGGGAGAGGATCGTGCCGTGGTAGTTAGTTTTTCGGGAATGCGCCTTTTGCTCTCTCTCTCTCTTAGTGCTAGTGTGACTCCATTGCGTTGGAAAAAGGATAACTTTTGAGCGGTTTAGGAACCCCTTTTGCCGGAAACAAAATGGGGTTTTTGCTGAAAGAGGCTTTGAGGACTCTGTGCTCAAGGAATCGTTGGTCTTATGCCGTCTTCTGGAAGATCGGTTGCCACAATTCCAAGTGAGTTTGTTTCGAAGGCTTTTGCTTTGTGTTTTCTTTCTTTCTTCTTTTGGTTTGTGAGAATTTCGGGGGAATCAGGTGTGGTTGTTGGGGGGTTTTGTGGTTGGATGTGATTTTGATGCTTGTACTTTCGGAGGGGGGGATCTCATGTGTTTAGATTCTATTTCTGGGGTTGCTTCGTTTTCAAGATAAAGTCCACATGTTAGTTCCTGTTTTGGAACTTTATATGTGCCTTTGTTGCTTCTCTTCTGTTTTGTTATCAAGAATATTTGTTTTTTTGAGACGTAAGTTTGTTTTTTTAACTAAAAAGAAGTTTATCTGCATTGATTTGTAAAGGCACTATCTACTGATTCAGTACTTGTTTGATTCTGTTTGGTCTTATCTTCTTGTTCCGTTAATAAAAATCTGACCCCTTTCTTCTTGAGCTAATTGGGGTGGTGGTGGGGTGTTAATATTCTAATCTATCTATTTAATGCTAATTACTCACGATGCTTTGAGTATTCTGTTAAAAAATCTGTTGAATTCTTGAGCTGAATCAATTAATTTTCTGGATCCATTAGGACTGGAAAAAAATTGTTTTTCTAGATCAGGATCTCGAATCTGAGCTTGTAATTGTGCAAAGAATTATGAAATAGTTAGAAGCTCGAGCATCATTCTATTTTTTTTTTTTGCAGAGAGAAATTAAAACTGTGGCTTTATTTTATTGTCTTTTTTCTAATGTTTTTAAACCTTTTGCTTTTGACTTGACGTATGAATCTAGCGTTGCTAATCTTCTAAATCATGTATTTGCTTCCACACAATGTTTTCTAAGCTGCCAGATGGACGTTGAAATGTTGTGCTTTTGACTTTGTGCCTTGATTGTTGTCTGTGGAATATTTGTGTTCGAGTTATAACTGAGTAAGGCTTACTTGGCAGGCTGTTAATCTGGGAAGATTACTACTATGAACCCTTGCCATCTCCTTTCCCTCCACGAGCTGTTGGGATGTCTAATTTTCCTCGCCGAGATGGGGAAGGATGTTGGTTTTCTTCTGAGTCTCAGCTAGGGATTCAGGAGGAGGACAGAGTCTGTGTATTGCTTAACAAGATGATGGTGAATAATTCAGGAGGAGGACAGAGTCTGTGTGTTGCTGGAGAAGGGTTGGTGCTTCTTATTTTCGCCTTTTTCCTTGATTGTCGATATCCTTATTTTAAGTAATTTTCGCGGGATTCTCATCTCAATCAAGTGCTGCCTTTTAATGTTGACCAGGATAGTTGGACGGGCAGCATTTACAGGAAACTATCAGTGGATTCTTTTGAACAATTTCACTAGAGATGCATATCCACCAGAGGTATGGAGTTGATGGAAAGACAATAAAATTTTGTAAAATCTTGCCTCCTCCATGTTCATGTTTTAATAAGAATTTTTATTGTTCAAGCTGTTGGATAAAATGAGTGAGTATTAATGTGGTATAAGAAGTAAATGACATAAGCATCTTTTATGCTTGAGTATATATATTCTTGGAATGGTTAAAGGCCTGGAGTAGGTGAACTTATGAACATTTCTCGTTATTGGTGTTTTCTTTGTAGGTATATCCCGAGTTGCATTACCAATTTTCATCTGGAATGCAGGTTTGTGGTTTTATTACGCTTCACAATTTGCTATAAAGTTTTTGTTACTGTTTCTTAATCCTGGACTATTCTTGTTTACAGACGGTAGCAGTTATTCCTGTGCTTCCCCATGGGGTTGTTCAATTTGGTTCTTTCTTGCCAGTAAGTCTTTCTCAATTGTTCTTGTAATTTTGAAGAAGAGAAATCCTAGCAACACAGTGTTTAATA